GGGCGAGGGGCGGGGCGGCGAGGGGCTCTTCCAGGAGCCGGGTCTAGTTAGCTTTGGTCAGCTTCTCTAGTTTCCTGGTTCTGGATAAAGGAATTACAGGGCACGGGCATGTGTCGAAATAAACTCTGCTTTATTCATATAGCAAAATGTTGAGAATCGTGGTTTTATAAACCTCATTTGCACATTTTTGAAACCAGAGGCAAAGAAGATATCCCTGGGTCACTCCTCCACCCCCGTGTCCTTGACCGTCAGCCACCTGGATGAGGGGATTGGGCTAATCTTCACGCTGTCCTGCTAAATACTTAGCACCCGAGGAACCCAGCCTGGGCCTGAGAGAAGCGGAAGGTCTGGAGCAGGTTATGCTTTCTAATGTCTGGCTAGGAGGTGGGGGGACTGAGGTCCGTCCCTCCCACCTGGCCCCTATGGCTACTGACACCTGGTGTCAGTTATAATGCTGGTTATTCAGAATGTTGGTCACGGGGTGTGGCGGGTGGGGGGATGCCAGGATGGGAACATGGAGATGCCATGAAGGTGACAGGTGGGGAAGGATGGCGCAGGCATGGCCAGGGCTCTGGGCAAAGGCAGAGTGACCGCTCCTTCTATTCCCAATGTCCTTCGGTTTATTTTCTTGTGAGGCAAAAACAGGAAGCCTCTCTAATGAGCGGATCACCAGACTCTGGGGTCTGAAGCTCGAAGTCCCTTGGAACAAAAGTGAGGCCAGCCTGGGCAACAGGTCTCCCTTGAGGATGCTCAGCCCACTTCAGCCCTGCATTCCAGCACAAGAAAACGTAGTCCTCTGTCTTGAGCTAATAAAGACTAGCCAGAGCACACCCGCGCCCTTGGAGAAAAGGGTAACGCAAATCCCCACAATAAACAGCGTTTCCGAGGGGCCCAGCTTTCTCGTGGGCTGGCACTGGAGGCTTGCTCAGAGCAGGTATGCAGAGGCAGGGCACGTACCTGGTTCAGTGCCTAGACCCACACAGGGAAGCGCGTGTGTGGGACCCATGTACACTGTTGCTCCCAGGACTAGCCTCTTGCTCTGAGTCTTAAAGGCTGGAAGATACCACAGGGAGGGTGCCTGCAGGAAAGTCACCTCAGTCTGGAATCCCTGCGGATAGGGCAGGGCTACGCCTCCACTTTAAAGGGCCTTTCTGTCTTCCACTCCATCCGGCAGAGGGCGAATCCCTGACCTCCACATAGAAACTTATGTGAATAGCTGAGGGAGGCCTGGGCTCCATCCTGGCCACGTGGCAGTAACCCTGCCGGAGCTCTAGCTCCAAGGGCCCGTGGTACACCTCAGACCCCAGCCCACAGGGCTGGAAGACAGACGTTCCCACAAGTGAAAAGGTAGAAAGTGAGAGCGGAATTCCTGGCTCAAAGCTGAAGGAAACTGAACAGGGGTGGTGCTTAGGCTGTGCTAAGGGCGACAGGAAGGCAGAGTCAGAAACACTGGGAACCAGGGGTCAGCTGTACAGCGCGATGCTCAGATGGCAGCACCTCAGGGCTCTTGGCACCTCCTGGGAAGGGGAAGTGGACATCCTGCTGGCCGAGAGCCAGGCCATCCGGACATGCAGCACAGAGCAGGGACCCCAGCTGGGCAGCAAAAGGCAGGGCCGAGGGAGCCCTTCCCTCCAACCTCCCTGTTCCCTGCCGGGGTTAGGAAGGTGGGAGAGAAGCAGCGGGGGCCTGCCGAAAGGAGGCTGACCGCCAAGGAAAGTGCTTCACTTCAGGTGTAGGGGAGATGGGGCCGGGAAGGTGAGGGACGCCCTTCTGTGCCTTGAGCGGGTCCATGGAGTTCCTGGGCTCTTGCTGGAAACAGCCAGGCACTGAGCCCCAGCCCCAGGGGTCTGAGTGAGCAGGTCTGGGTGGAGCATATTTCACAAGCACCCTAGGGAGCACCAGGCTGTCCCCAGAGCAACTATGGGAAGAGTGGACTAGACTGTCACGCCCATGGCATGTCTAGGGAACAACTCTTCCCACTAGAGACGTGGGTAGCAGGGGATGAAGACAAAGGGCTGAGGCCTGAGTTTCAGGGAGATGGAGGTACTAGTTCTGGGGCAGGCTGGGAGCCAGCAGGCACTTGGACTCTCTGCTGCCGCCTCGAGAGGGAACTGAGGCATGGCGAAGAGGAAGGCTTAATCGTGGTTGAACCGCTGCCTGCGTGAGAGCTGGGGCCAGGTCCCAGCTTCCGGAGGGCAACTTGGTCCCGTCCACTCCTTAGGAAGCTGGCTGAGCACAACGCAGGGCGAACACAAGCGGTGTGACTGGGGGGCGCATCGGACAGCCCTTGCCGTTGCACCCCGGGCAGGGCTTTTGTGTGTCTCATCCTAAAGGAAGGCCCTGGCAGAAGGTAGAGAAATCCTCTGACGCCAGTCTCCCCTCTGAAGTTGGGGTATCCCTGCTTCTGCCACGGAGCCAGGGTGACAGATCCCAGAGCCAGGCCAGCTGTCCCTGGAGCCTGGCCATCCTCTGCCCCTCACTCCGTGCTTTCCCCAGGCCACTGAGGCCGTGGGCAGCGTCCCTGGAAGACTCTCCACCTTTCCCGGGGGCCTGGGGTGCTCCTTTAGGCCCCTACCCGCAACGGTCTCTCCCACTTCAGAAAAGTCTCCTTGCCACCAGAACATGCAGTGAAATCTTTCATGATGGGATTATTTCCTGAAGCACCTTGAAAGTGAACTTGAGATAAGAACCTTTCTGCATATTTAAGTGCTGTGCGGTCCCTGCTCTGCTTAGGCAGGGGCCGTGGCAAATAGGCAGTGCCCTCCTGACTGCCCCGCCTCTCTGGGATGTGGGCACAACTACCTTGTCACTGCCCACTTCCTGGGGCTTAGAAAGTCCCCACCAAAGGAAGATTCTAGGGTAGCCCAGGATCTGCAGAGCCTATCAGCATGACCACCAGGGGGCAGCACAGCGTCTCCAAGGCAACCCCTGGGGTTCCTGCTCCTGCAGAGCCTTATCAGGGCAGCTTGGGGGTGTCCTGGCTGGTGTGGGGGTACAGGAGTCTGTCCGGAGGGTCCGTGCTGCAGTCCTTCAGGATCTCCACCGGTTCCGCGGAGGATGGAATGGGCGGCTTCTGGGGCACGGCCCCCTCCACACAGAGCGCTCCCATCTCCTCCTTCCTGAGCTCTGCCCCTCGAGGGAGGAGAGAGAAGGCACCATCAGACCCAGGGGAAAACAGATCAGACGACGATCCCCTTCCCACAGCCACCTGCACCCCAAGGCTTATTCAGTGGGAAACGAAGCAGCACAGAGGAGACAGGACTAGGGCTGCAGCCTGATCTACTCCCACCCTAGGACACTGGAACTCCCCCGGGGCAATCTGCCCCCTAGGGGACACTGGGCAATGGGGAGGGTGTTAACCCGTGTCCAGTGGGCACGGAATGGGCGGAGGCCAGGGATGCTGCTCAAGGGCCCACCACGCACAGGATGCGCCCTCACAAAGATTTATTTGGCCCCAAATGTCAACACTGCGAGGCTAGAAGGCCCGCCTGGGGAGGAGGGCTTTGGCATGTAAGCTCTGGCAGTGTTCGCTATTTGCCTGAGACATACCAGTGCCACCGTCCCCCGAAGAACAACTTAGGAAAGGGCACAGCTGACAGCATCTCTTTCTCTTCCGCCCCCGCCCTGGTGGCTGGACGAGGACACCAACTCAACAAGTGCTGGGGTGAAGGGCTCCCTGTCTCGGCTCCCCATCTTGGCGCTTCCTCTTTTTACTTCTCTGCGCCCCCTCCCCACTCCCAGCTGCAGGACCAGGGCCACCCTGCTCCTAGGCAGCCTCTCTCAGCCCTGAGACCCAGGCCCCTGCTGAGGACCACAGACTCGGAGGGAAAAGTGAGCAGAGCGACAGGAAGGAGACCAGCTAGAAGATGTCACGAGGGCCAAATCACCGCTCTGCCTCTGCAGTGAAGCGTGACTGGCTGCAGAACCTCGAAGACCACCGTGTTCTCCCTCGTTTTCAGTGTCTACTTATAACGATTTCATGCTTCAGACTTTCGGTAAGTCGCCCTCCGTATGACGTAACTCCCCCCACACCCCAGCCCAGGCCCTGCCCGCCAGGTGGGGAGGCAGCACCCTCACCGACGCTGCCGCCTGGACCGCCCCCTCTGACTGGCACTGACCCCGTTCCTCTCCAAACCTCAGTCTACGCGGCCCCGCTTAGGATGTGATGCCGCGGCCCCAACTTTTCCAGTCCCCTAGGAATTTCCAGTAGTAGTCTTAGCATTTAAGGAGTGCGGCTGACATGACTCGTCAGGCATCATTCTAAGCCCTTTACACGCATTAATTCACTTTACAAATGAAAACTGAAGCACGAGGTCAAACGCAAGTTAGTGGCGGAGCCAGAATGTGAACCGAGCGCCCAGCTCCAGAATCCGCGCTCTTAGCGCTGTGCCCTGTGCCTGCCGCGTGTGCGCCCTGTGCCTGCCCTGTGCCTGCAGCGTGTGCATCTGGCCTCTCCAGCTGCATCCTAAGCTCCTTGGGGGCAGGTGTCACGTCTCAAGCAGCCACTGGTCTGGCAGACAGTGGGGCACACTGCAGAAGCTCAAAGGATACCTCCGACCACGCCTCTCGCTGGCTGCCTCTACCAGACCGCCAGCCTTCGAGCTCGACGTGGGACTGGGAAGAGAGAGTCCCTCCTTGTCCCCGTGTCAGGCCCTCGGCCGTGCGTACTTACTTGCGTGGGAGCGGGGAGGCCCTGGGGCGCAGGTGCAGACGTGGCTGAAGCGCCGGCCCGAGGAGGTCAGGTACCAGTGCTGGATGGCGGGTTGGGGGTCGTACTCTGTGACCGCCACACCGTTCACTGCTGTCATCATGAGCATGTTGATCACCTCGTTAGAGAGCTTGGTCCTCTCATCGGTCCTGATCCGGTTCATGGCACTGAATCCCCGCTCACAGCAGGAGGTGGAGATGGGCACGCAGGCCACCACTGCCACCAGCCTGCTCAGCACGGGGAAGCGGCGGTGCTGGGCCAGGGCGGTCTTACACAGCATGGAGAACGGCAGGTTCCTGGTGACGGCTTTGAGGCCCAGCCATTCCTCCAGCAGTGCCTCCTCGCTGAACCCTGGCGGGAGGGAGAGCTCAAAGTACCTGGCGAGGGCAAGAATATCATCATCCCCAAAACCAGCCAGTTCGAGCCCGCTTGGCCAGGCCATGGTGTCGAACACCTCCATGTTCTTGAGCTGGGGGGGACGGTCCGCATCGAACCTCTGCCGGAGGTACTCGATCCCCGTCCGGATCGTCCTCTCCCTGTCTGCCTGGAACCTCTGTTCTGCCATCTCCACTCTGTCCAGGAAGATGCCGTGGAGCTGCCCGTCCTTGAAGGCGGCATTGAACTCCTCCTCTTTGGGCCCTGCCTGGTGACGGAGGGTCTCCAGGGCGACATAGGCCCGCCCCAGCGTGGAGTTCACCTCCGTGATCAGCACGATCTCTTTCTGGCATACCTCAGACAAAGGCCTGTAGACGCTCAGGAAGTCCAAGAGGAAGTGGCAGAACTTGACAAAGTGGAAGCTCTTCATCAGCTTCAGCATGCCCTTGGCCCTGTGCCCGACCTGGCCCCCCGCTTCCGCCACACTCTGGAGGTGCCGAGCCAGGGCGGGCCAGCTCACGACGAGCGCGTTCAGCGTGCGTCTCTTGCTGGCCACCCACGTGACAGTGTTCAGGTCCTTCAGGCGGGTGATCTCCTGCTCCAGGGGAGCCGCCCGCTCCTGCAGCTCATTCAGCCTTTTGTTCGAGGACTGATAAAACTTGAAGACGGTTCGCATGTGCCGGTCACACTTCTTCACCAGGTCGATGCCGCCACACGCGTCCACCACGGCCAGGGGCAGCCGGTGGGCCACGCAGTGCACGGGCAGCAGCTGCGGGACGAGCTCCCGGAGCTTTTCCACGAGGCCTCCCCTGCGGCTCAGCATGGTTGAGCCATCAGTGCCCAGGCCCACCACCCAACCGGGCTTCCGGAAAGGGATGTCCAGTTCATCCAGGACAGAGACGATGGTCTCGAAGTACCCGTCCACCGTCTCACTGTAGAGCGGGGCCAGCGTGATGTAAGACTCTTTCACCTCTGGCCCCTTAAAGTAGCGGATGTAAATCCCCACACAGGCCTGGTCGGAGGCGTCTGTGGAGCTGTCCAGCAACAGGCTCACGCACGGGGAGTCCCGCACGTCCTCGAGGATCTCCTTCTTCAGGGTCTCGGAGATGTATTTGATGAACTGTGTGCACGCGGTGCGGTTTCGGTACTTGCCCAAAATCATGGTCCCAGTGCTTTGGAGGAGCTGCAGGATCTTCTCAAAGTCGTTCAGGGGCCTCGAGTGGTAGGCGATGGAGTAGGCGGCGTTGAAAAAGTGCTCCATGTTCGCCATCAGGTCACTGGAGATGTCTGGGAGCAGGGCGGCCTGAGGGGCATCTTCCTTGATTTCGACAGTGTTGACGCAGAGCTTGTGTGCTTTGCTGACTTCGTGGTATTTCAAAGTCTCCACTTTAAAAGGCCCCGTGTAACCTCGGACCAACCGTGATGATTTGTCATGGAGACTCGGTCTTTCTTTGCAAGCCGAGCAGAAGAGCTTGGTCTCCTCTGGGTCGATGACCAGCCATGGGAACTGCCCAAACCACGACCTCTGAATCGAGCGGGGCCTGTACGTCCTCTTGATTTTCCTGGGCCCACCTGCTTCTACTTCACAAAGGCCGGGACCGCTGTAGGGGGAACACGTCTCCGTAGGAGCTGGAGGCGATGCAGCTTCTCCAGCCCGGGCCCGCGCGTCTGCTGCTCTGGCAGCCACCGTCTTCCTTTTCCCTTTGGAGCAAATCGAACCGCGCTTGGTTTTGCTGCCTGGAGCTCTGCCGTCTCCTATCAGCTGAGACACCCAGTTCAATGGGCGTCCCTTATGCAGGGCGGAGACGAATGTAACCCACCCTTCAAGAAAACACTATTGACCTGTGGAAGTCGACCTGGCTCCCTCAGGGTTGTCTGCAAATCCCTGTGGGCTCTTTAGCCAGCCTCCCCCTTTCCAGCCACACAGCGGCCATCTCAGCTGATAAGCTTAGTAGATGCTGCTGGGTAAACAGTGGCTCGAATCCTCTTGCGAGGCACCACAAAGAAAGGCGGTTATCCACGCGTTAGTCCTCAGGAGCCTTCGAAAGAGAGCGGCAGATGGAGTTACAGCAGCTCCCGGCCAATGAGTTACGCAAAGTGACTCACTCTCACAGACCCGACCAGCGACGCTGTCACTGAAAACCAGACGGAGGAGACTCACGGGCCTGTGGGTCACATGGTCCCTCACGACCAGCGTCCACCGCACACTCCTCCCACCGGCTCTACCCCAGGTCCCTTTAGCACCTCTGCTCCCCAAAATCCCTTGTTTTCGCCACGCTGTCCCGCTGTCCTGCGCTCCGAGGGTAGGGTTCGTCACTTGGTCATCTGTCTACCCGGGGCCTAACAGAATAGCTCAGGCTAAGTGTGGCTGAACTAACATCGTGTGACTTGCCACAGCCACAACGGCCCCTGGACTTGCCCTTCAGAACCCAGTAGGTCAAGACTCACCTTTCCCCCACTTCGGCCCATGTGCGTCCTTGATCCAGGGTGCAGCTCTACGCTCCAGTTTTGAGATCAAGTCGGGTTTGGCAGCAGCAGGCCCTGTTGCAGGGACAAAGAGTCGTACTAATGTCACTGCTGTGGACCATCAAGTCGAGTGACGTGCCTGAAGCTACTCGTGGTACCCGAAATACTCAGGGAGGCCTCAGCCAGGGCATAGGTACGAAGGCGTACTCATCTAGGGTGCCAATTAAATCTTAAAACCCAAGCGGCGGCCAGATTGGAGTGCACGCCTTGGCCAGCATAAATAACTTCCTCGGCCCCACGGGCCAGCCACGCGAGCCATGAGTCAGCCACAAGCCTCTAGAGGAGAAAGGGGGAAAAACAGGAAAAAACGCAGGGATAAAACAGAAAGACGGAAGGTAGGGATGATGCAGAAAGCGCGATGAGGAGGGGAAGAGTGCCACCAACAACCGTTCCCGTCCACGCGCCCCTCGGGGACACCCGCGCCTGGCCTCGGTGCAGGTGGCTAACTACACGGGTTATTTTAAGGGGCACCTGAAGAGATTTACATCTTTGGGGTAAGCACTGCCCTTTATTTAAAATATGAATATTCCCACAAAGACAAACACAAGGAGACCATGGCTACAAGGCAGAGGTTAGAATGATGCGTTCGAGGAATACCAAGGACGGACGGCTACCACCAAAGGCTAGGAAAAGGCAAGGGAGGGCTCTACGCAGGGTCTCAGAGGGAACATGGCCCTGCCGACACCTTGATTTTGGACTTCCATCTCCCAGAACTGCGAAAGAACACATTTCTGTTGTTTTAAGTCAAAAATACATACATACATACATACTAAAAAAATAAATAAAAATAAAATAAAATATAAATATTCCTCAGGGATATGCAAAGAAATCGCTTTCTTGATTTAAAATAAAATCCAGTAGCATCCACTCATCTGCTTTTGTATGTGTCTGCGTGAACGTGTGTGTAAGCTTCCTTTGGAAGGACATACAACTGTGAGTGCTTCTGGGGAGGACCAAAGGACAAGGTAAAAGGGAGATTATTTTCACTATTCATCTTTTGGATCACTTGAATATATGTATTTATTATATGTGAGCGTATATATCTACATATTTATTACAAATAAAAATATAATAATAAAGTATGAAAGCATGGTAGACTAAACACGTATCCTTCTTAAAACAAAGCATGAGCCCAAGAGAAACACTGGACTAGAAATATTAATATATTTTTGGAAAAAGTAAAGAAGATCAGAGCGAAGGAACTAACAGAGCTGAACGCCAAACGCCTGCAGAGGGGGTGAAGGGGGGAACGTGAATTTGGCCACAGAATCCCCAGAGGATGCAGGACCCAGAGGCCCCAGGTGGGGTAGAAGGTGGTGGGTAAGGGACAGGTGGACATGGGACGGGCTCAAAGTCTGCAGAGACCGACTCCACTCCGGGTCCTCTCACTCGAGGTGGAGAAGAGATTGAGTCTACAGAAAACTTAACCAGAAAGGTCCAGCCCCCAGGGTAGTGGTGACAGTGAAGGATGAAGAAGGACCGCGAGACACAGAGAGGGAGACAGTCGATGCTCTGGAAGGCGCATCACTCGGTCCAAGACCACGGGCTCGGCTTCTGCTCTCCAAGCAGTTCACTGGGAGACTTTTCTTTGGAGACACTGAATTGTCCCACCTCGCCGGCTCCTCCCCCCCAAACACCTATGGAGACCGACTTCTGTAGGCTCTTCAATGAGACATCCAGGTTCATAGCTGGTCACCCTACAGTGAAACCTACCCACCCTTTAATGAGTCCCAGCCGTGCACACGGAGCTTCCGGCCAGCTTTTTTAAGGCTTAACTCTTAAATATGAATGAACCTAACAATATTTATTTAAGACAAGCCTCTAACGTAAAACAAGTAAGAGAAAGGATGGGGGAAAGTAGAGATAATGCAAGGAGCAGAACAGACTAGAATTCATATTCCCAGAGAGAAAAACTGTGACAGCCATCCATGGAAACAGCAATAAAGGCGCTTCGATTTAAAACATAACAGGAAAAATTTTTTTAAAAATTAAATAGGATTGTTAGAAAATAAAATTGAGGAAATCTCCAAGAAAGTAGAACGAAAAAGACAGAAGCAGAAAATAGGGGAAAAAAAGAAAGAAAACAAAAATATATATTCGACTTAGGTGGCCTAATATCTAACTAACAGGACTTTTTAGAAGAAGAGAGAAAATATATAGGAAGAAATAATACAAGAATGTTTCCCTGTAAAATATGAGTTTCTACACGGAGAGGAAGCACCAGATACCCAGAACAAAAGGTCAAAAGACACCCGTGTCATTAAACACATCAGAGCAGTGGAACAGATCTTAAAACCCTTCAGAGTAGAAAAATAGGTTGTGTTCAAAGATTTAGGAATACAACGGCATTCAGACTTCTCAACAGCACCTGGAAAACCAAAAAGCGATGCTTTAAAAATGCTCAGGAAAAATATTTCCAACCTGGAATTCTATACCCAACCAACTTATCAATCGTGAGGGCAGAATGGGGGTATTTTTGGATATGCAGAGTCTTAAAAAAAAAATCTCCCCATGTACCTTTCCTTGGGGTTACTAGAAGCTGCGCTCCAACAAAGTGAAGATACAAACCCAAAAGAAGAGATAGGTCCAGGAAGTAGAAAAAAGACAAATGAAAGTCTGCAGCCACCGCTGTACAGCAGCCTGGAGATTAAATCATTCAGAGCAGACGAACAGAAGACCCGCGACGGAAGTCTCCAGAAAGAGAGTGAAACGGGTAAGTCGCAGGGGTCTGAACGTGTGGAAGACTCTTCAGAGGAGCTGTGAAATTCCACCGGCGAGTCTGAGAAGAGCTGTGAGAGCACAGAAAACTAGCAAAATAGAAAACAAGATCGAATTCTATTCCAGTGGGGAAAATCTTACAGCAAAGACAAAACCATCATAATATGCCACTTCGATCAGAAGTAAATCATACATACACATCATCAGGCAAACAGTTTACATTGAGCTAACCAAAAAGTGTGATATACCTGTTCTGAGAGGGTGGAGGGAAGTGGGGGCTTGGGATGGGGTAAGAGGGCTGTGTCTTCATCTTCCACAGTAGGATTAATAGATAATATCTAAAATCAATAAATCAGGAAGAGCAATAAACATATGTAATGGGATATTAAAGTGGGATTCTGTCTGCCTGTTTTGGCTGAAGGGCTCCCCATATAGGAGCCAACTATCCCCTAACCCAATGCTAGACACAGAGGCCTGACTTGGAAAGAGGGTGGCTAAGACCCTGGGCGCACGCCACGAAGGGGGAGTCGAAGCACTGGGAGCGAAGAGGTCAGGACCATGGTGTTAGTGATTCTTCCGGAAAGAGCTGTCAAGTGCATTGTGAGCCCCTCCTACACACTACCAAGGTGTGGGGGGGCTACTTTCCCCTGACCTTCGGCCTCTTAGGAATGAACACCTGACCTGTACCTCCCAGTACTGTGGGGTTGCCCATGAACCGAGGCCCAAAAAGCCTGAAGGCAGAAACTGACAAACAGGCCCCTTCAAGGTGACCATGGTGGGAAGAGCCTACATTCCCAGGGTTTGGCGGAGCAAAGGGTGTGTCTTCCTGGAAATGCTCTTACAGCTCAAACACGGAACACAGTTTAAATCAGAAATGGCTGGAACAGCCGGAGACCTAACTACAGTAACGAAAGGCAACCACACACACGCAACCCAGGTCCTGGACTCCTGAACCCCTTCCATCTCGCAGACACGGAAGACGCAGCCCGCTCCCCGCCAAAGCCTCCTCCGTTCCTGCCCGCAACCCTCAGGCAAAACCAGTGGCCCTTCCTCTGATTACACTCTTCGTCCATCCAAGCAAAACTCAACCAAGACTGGACTGTCCCTTAATCCCCCCAGCGGGCTAAGGTTTCCCCACTTCCTAACTTCTGAATGCTAAGAAGAAAATGACTGAATGCCTAGACCACGAAGCCTGGACCCAAGCCAGGCGCGACAGCCCGCGTCAGCCTTGAGCCACCTCAGAACTGGTTACCCACCCCTCTCCCGAACTTTCCACAGGGGCCTCAGGCAAAGTGCATCCCTGCTGCACGCTGCCTTAAAGGAATAGCCACCTTCTTGTAAGTGGGTGTGTATTTTTAAAAAGTGGATTGCCCCCTCGTCCCCTGCTTTCCAACACTGTAGGTGACAGTGACGCTCTGCAAGGGTGTGCTCTGCACAGCTGCCCTGGGCCGAGGGCCTCAGCACAAATCTCCATCACCATGAAATAAGCCATCATTTACAGGGCGGACAATTATTTCTGATTGTCCGGGGAGCCATTTAAAAATTCGAAACAATGACAAAAATAAGACTGTTTAGAAAATAACCCATATCTTTGCTGCACACAAAAGGACAGTGTAGGCCAGGGGATGTGACACCATTTAAGTCGTAAAGAATCTGAGTTCCCATTCCATAGAGGGCATGAGACGGGTCGCTGCTGGGAGTCCTAAGTTCTGCATGGTTCCTGTCGCCGTGCACGCTAGTGAAAAACGAAAAGCGAAAGCTTCACGACATGAGAGGCGTCTTCCCATCGTGACGCCGCCTGAGCCCTGGGCGTCTGACAGGAAATGGAGGCAAAGAGAAGGATGAGAAGCAGGTGCGAGACGACATTCTTCTGGGACAGTAATAAATGTTATGACTGCCATATTCCCCAGCGCTGTCTAGTGACACCCAGGACAAGACTGGCAACCCTTGCTGGCCCCTGGGCAAGAGGAAGCGGCCTGGGCGCAGGCAAAGTGGAGGAGGGCACAAGCCACCTGGAGGGCATTGTGCCTTTGCTCGCCTGTCCCCTCCGTCCTGTCTAGACACCCCTCCTCCTCCTTGTCCACCTGCTTTTCAACTCAGTTAAAACATTTCCTACTCAGTGAAGACCCTGCTGATCGCTCCCTCGAATGCCCGGCAAACTTAAATCGCTTCTTCAGTGGCCCCAGGGAACTTTCCCGAACCTCTTTTGTGGAGCCTGTGTTGTTTTAGTTTCTTATTAAAGCGTCTGTCTCTCTCACGAACCTGCTGGCCCCTTGAAAGCAGAGACCTGGCCTCATTCGTGTTTATCCAGCACATAGTAGGTACTCAATAAACATGTGCTGGAGGATGGGTGATGAGATGGTAGATGAAGAGGGGATGATGCCACTGCCCCAAAGCAGGCAGAGTCCCGAGGCGCGAAGACAGAATCGCTCTCTGCGTGTGCGCAGGGAGAGGGCAGAAACGGGAACATGGCCACGAGCCGCAGCTGCCCTTGTGGGTGTCCCATGACACGCGAGGGGGGTAAGCAAAGGTCGACATGAATCTTTACCCAGGGACGCCAGCAGCTCGTAGTTCATCCACATCACGTCTCTGTACAGCTCCTTCTGCCGCTTGTCTAGCGAGCCCCACTCGTCCTGCGTGAAATACACCGCCACGTCCTCGAAGGCCACCGGAACCTCCGCAAACAGCCCCTCTCCGGAAGGGTCCTGCAACAAAGAGCGGCAGCCATTCAGCATGCCTCTTACGTCAGTCACCCGGTGTGACACTCAAGGCCTGTTTCTCCTGGGAAGCTCGCCAAGAGGCTCAGGTGTACCCCGAGAAACTCATTTATCCATCGAAAGTCAAACGAGCAAATTCATGAGGCCCAGAGTTAGTGCGTAAACACCGGATGGGCCTCGGCGTGAGCCTAGGGTCTCCCGGGAGGATATAAACCGTGCTGAAAGAACGGGCGTCTTGGCAGAGCCTTATGACTGTGCCCCGCCCCCTACAGTCCTGAGGGGTGTCTCTACTCTTATGTGACTACAACGGTGACCTCTGTCCTAGGAACAACTGCTAGGATTTCCCACTGGGATGGCGAGTCATAAAAAAGACTGAAAATGTGACTAGGCTTACGCATGCCTTACTGCTAAAGGATTCGGATTATAAAAGGTTGGGCCTGTTTACTGGCTTCTAATACTGAAGACTAGAAGGAACACGAACATGAAAAGAAACGAGCCTCATCACTCTTCTGGATTCTGGAAAAACTCGAGCTAACTAACTTTAGCTGGGCCTTCTGATGCTAGGTATGAGGGACCCCGGAGCTACTCTCCTCAGGCCACTGGGCGGGGGCAGGGGGTCGTCGAACAGGTGTGTAGTAAAATCCTGCTTATATAGAATGATGAGGAATGGGGAAGGTTCCAGTTACTCAAAGATTCCAGTTAACAGTTTCCTCACAAACCAACTTTCCAAAGAATCAGAAAATTACAAAATAAACCCAAGACGAGAACGAGAGTCTTCTAGAACCCTCCAGTGCTGCAGGGAGTGGAAGGAGAGCACGAGGCTGGCAGTCACGGGCCGTGCGGGCGGGGGGAGGCTGCCGCCACGAGAACCCCTGGACTCTGGACGGGTCGCCCCTCCGAGTCCGTTTTCTCCCAGCAGGACGAGTCTAACCAGGCTGCTCTGCCAGCCTCAGAGCAGCATGAAAATCACTACAGGAAAGAACGTGTGTGAAGAAACTCTGCAGTATTTCAAAGTGCTACATGATCCAAAGTTAAAGCAGAAGAAAGTTTTCACTTTGGTTATTTCAGAGCTCTGTGGTGCTTTTGTGCTTGTGGGTTATTAAGTTCTTCGGTTGTTTTGGATTCTGACTAAAGGTTACTGTTCTGAATTTGGATGTTCCCTTTAGATCGGAAGTTAGGATATCTTGCCCCACTAATTAGGTTTTGTTATCTGTAAAAAATGAGATCATAATAGGGCTATTATCTTAAATAAATGAAATAATACACGTAAAGCGCTTAAAACAGTGCCTAGGACATGATGAGCACGTTAGCTTATGATAACATTATAACGTTACCAGCAGGTAACTAATATAATTTTTCCACCCTCATCATGCAGCATATGTTGTTCACACTATGGAATCCTCCCCTCTCCCTGAGGGCACATCAATCGTCATAAACACATTACCCGGCTGCAGGGTTCGGCAGAGTCATTACACAAAACGCTAGTGTTTGAGGAGTTGGGGATGTCATCAGCGATTTCTTTACGCCTCAGATTGGAACTGCAGTCCAGATGCGACGCAGGAATTGCTCCGTCCTGCCCAGGGCCCGCCACGTCAGCTCGTGAGCTGGGCGGGAGCTGGGCCACGCTGCGATAGGCTCCCAGGGGCCCTGCGGGGTACAGGATGGGATACTGAGCAGGGAAGAGGGGCTCTGGACTGGCGTCTCGGATGCCCTGGAAACGGGATGCCCAGACGGGGTCCCGAGCTGCCAAGGCATCGACGCAGAACAGGTGAGCTTTGCTCTTGGCGTGGTATTTGAGAGTCTCCACCTTGAACGGTCCTGTATAACCTTCTATCAGTCTGGACCGTCTGTCCCTGACGGACGGGAATTCCCGGCAGGCGTAGCAAAACAGGGCTGTCTGCTCCTCGCTCATGACCAGCCACGGGAACTGCGCAAACCACGACTTCTGGATGGACCGGGGCTTCAGGGGCTTTCTGCTCTTTCCCGCGCAGTCTTCCTCAGTGGCGCTGCCCTCTGCCCTGAGGTGGGGAAGGCAGGCTTTCTTCTGAGGTGGCCGGTAGGGTCCAGCTTCTCTGGCTGGACTGTGCACGCCCATCTCCTCTATGTAGCCCATCTTTTTTCCTTGAGAGAAAAAGAGAGAATTTGCGCTGAAATCCTATTGACGGAGCCCCTGCAACTCACGGAGGCTCTCAGATATGTCAAATGTGGAGCCGGAAATCGCACACTCAAAAGTGACACGGCCTCTACCCGAATTCCCTTTTATCGGCCCCCCACTGCCCCACGCCCACTCGACCTCACCTAGAAGAAAATCAAGAGGGCTTTAAGCAGAGCTTTTTTTTTTTTAACGTAGAGAACACCTGGCCGTAAGGGTATCGTTGTAACTGATATCTGTGACCTAAGACAGTGGCATAATCCTCTGGAGTTCAAACGTACTTATGGATAGGAACGCCGACCTAGCAGAATAACAAGGTTAAAAAACCATAATTAAAGCTAAGTGCAGGCAGAGCTCGGAGACGCTGCGGGTCCCAGACCACAGCAATAACGCAGATATAGCAAAAAAGCGAGACACACCACTTTTTTTGGTTTCCCCGAGCATATAAAGCTACGTTTACACTATGCTGCATTCTGTTAAGTGTGCGATAGCATTATATCTAAAAAAATGTACATACCTTAATTTAAAAAATACTTTATTGCGGAGCATATAAAGCTATGTTTACACTATGCTGCATTCTGTTAAGCATGCGATAGCATTATATCTAAAAAAAGTACATACCTTAATTTAAAAAATACTTTATTGCTAAAAAATGCCAACTGTCACCAGAGCCTGTTGGGAAAATGGCGCTGACAGACTCGCGCCATGAAGTTATCATGAACCTCCGATTTGTAAAAAAAAAGAAAGGAAAAAAAAACAGTATCTGTGAAGAGCAATAAAACAAGGCATGCCTGTGCTACAATCCCACACTTCCCCAGTGTCCTCAGAAGACAGGCATCTGTCCGCACTTTGCTCAAGTACCTATAGGACGAGAGAGCGACCTACCTCCTGGCAGACAGTTTTGGTCCCCAGAGAGTTTTTCTTAAGCTGTATTCCAGCTTTGAGGAACTTCCAGCCTGGCTGCTACTTCAGCCCTTAAGAAACACACAACCTCTCTGATACCACAACCCTTCAAAGAGATGAAAACCCTCATGACCTCACGAAAATTTGTCTTCTTCAAGCTAAACTAGACATTTCTTTATTGGCTCCTAAGGTGAAACGCAGCTTGGACAACTCTAGCTCCTCTGGGGCTCCTTTGGGACCACTGCCTATGCGTCAGTGTGAGTTCTGAGGCCCAGGGGCCAGGAACACAACAGGCTTTGCTATAGAACCACAGCCAAGGCCAAGAGCCCGGGCTGTTAACAGAGTCACACACAAACACACAGAACGAACCAGTCAGCATCAAGAAGTCTAGGGCTCCATGTGGTCCATCTGAGTAGATCACCAGGGAGAACAAGGTTCTGCGATTTGATTCACGTGGGAGCTGGGGTCCCCACTCACCTGGGTAGTGGCCCAGGAGATGCCTCCGGCCCTGGATGCTGCCTAGCCATGGTTCTGGCCCTCGCTCAAACTTATAGAACGGCTCTGGGTTGGCGAGAGTTGGTCCTGGGTCAGAAAGAGAGAGAAGCACTATGAGGTCCCGGATCTAGATCCCAACAGTAATGGAAGATCTGTCTGAGCCATCCTCTCGGCACTGTGGGATAACTGGTCAAGGAGGAAGCTAAACCTTGGTGGTTTAGCACAGGGGCTTAGAAACGCAGATATCCGTTAGGTCCCTAAAAGAATGGAGGACTAAGTGAAAGCCAGGCTCTGTGCTCCTCTTCAAGGCTAAAACAGTATGAAAACTACTGATTCAGAACAGAAGCTCAAACTCAAAGGCCAAGAGGGGCCCGACTGATAATACAACTGAGGAAACCAGGTTGGGGGTGGGTGGCCATGGCATCCTAGAAGATTTAAACCCATGTACCAGGACAGCCGCTACTCTACTCCAGGCGGAGGCCACCACGTGGAACACGGGGCCAGCCCTGCCAGATTGTCCTATTTTCTAAGAGAGGCCAGAAATCCCTATTTTTATGTGAAAATTCCCCATGATTAAATATTGACAATTTATTTAAACAAAAGTGATGAAAGCCATCCCACCCCCTACCCTCCCCCCCCCAAAAATATCTGCAGGCCAAATCTGGCCCATGAGCTGCTACTTTGCAACTTCTGGTTCAGAAGAATCAGTGGTTTGCAAACTGCTTTTAGTACAGGAAAAAGACCCAGCCCAGCCATGACCCCTCTGTCCACAGAGAGCCGAGACTGTCATTCTCATAACCCTTAGACAGGGACCAAGATGAGAAGAAGACAAGACAGGGCGGTCACCAAACTGGAATGAGAAAATCTGTACACACGTGTGTACACGCGTTGAAACACAATCCACGGTACGGAGCGTCGACCCGTAGAGCAGAAAAAGGACATTCAGAAAATAAAAAAGGTGAAAAATACCTACGTGGGTACAAAGTTTTAAGTTGTTTTAGCCCCTCAAAGAATGAAATCAGGGCTTAAAGAGGCTGACGGTTTTGCTCAAAGGCACACCGGTATCACACGGTGGAGCTGGGGCTGAGACCAGAGCTCTAGACTCCGTGTCTGGCGCTGTCTCTGTGTCCAGTGTCCTATGAGCGCGTGAAACAGAATCCACCTTGCAGCTGCACAGACCACAGGCGGGGCTTCCCACCTGGCACCTTGGGTCTAACCCGATGAGCCCGACTTCCCCTCTTCTTTTCACCAATTTAAAGGGGGAAGAAAAATGGTGGTGAGTGAATCATTAGATATGGGACTGAGCAGATGAGCACAGATGCCCCCCCAAAATGGTAGGATTATAGGAAATTCTCGGGTGAGTCACTGTCGGATCTGGCTGGGGATGCGGATCTAGATTCAGGCAGAGGGGACAGGAACAGGAACCCATACCCAGCGGTGCCAGCAGCCTGTCAGAACCACAGATCTCCTTCTGTTGCTGACTCAGCAGCATCCATTCCTCCTGGAGCAAGTACACTGTGATGTCATCAAACGTCACAGGAGCCTAAAAGGAAAAATGACACCAGCTCAGCACCAACTTCTTCCTTAGGTTAGTCTTGCACCCGGGCGTTCACACCCACCTGAGGGCACCCCTACTCCGAGAGCTATCAGACTAGGGGAGGGGACACCGTCAATTGACATACGAGACTACACCTGTCCCTGACCACCTGGGTGCAAGTCACAGTGGCAACGAGGCTCATTTACCTAGGAAGGGCCACACAGTGGAACGAGAGTCATAAAGACAGCTGAGTCGGGAACGGCCTAACCCGTTCCCTGAATGCTTCTCACAGCCTTCCCAGAGGACCCAATGCTTCCTGGCCTCGGCAACCATTTACGGCCATGTTTTCATAAAATCTTAAACATGGTAAATCTCCCCATAGGAAGATGTATGTCATTCCTAGAAACAGTCAGAAGCCGTTCAGAACTCTGTCTGCAAATGAAGTCCATGATCAAGACGGTCAGAGCTGAGAACTAGATCCACTCGTCTTGTGGAAATGCTGAGTCCAACCAGAAAGGGGCACCGCGGTTCCGAAAACGATTCGGGGCGTTCTGGACTAAGACGGCAGACTGAACAGACACTTTTTTTTTTTTTTCGAATTTTGCTTCCTCCCTGTGCATTTAAAAGACACCCTCCCTCCCATAAAAAACCCCAAAGCAAAACACCTACCAGAATAGGGAACACGAGGGGGCAATAACAATACGAGTTTGGATACTGAAAAGTAGATGGAAGAGTAACAGCTGAGCAGATCCGAGAAAGCTCAATCCTTCCCAGCAGTGAGCGAACTGAGAAATAATTCAATTTATACCGCTAACTCCTCAAAGGCTTGGGATCTGGCAGCACCGGAACCTCTGGCCTGAGAGTGAAGGCAGGGAGGCTAAAATATAAGAACTGAGGGAAACCTGTTTGCCAAAAAAATGCCTCCCCGGATTCCCTAACAAGCAGGCTGTAAGTTGACAAGCCCCTCGCATCGAGCACTCAGAGCTTCCCGTTAGGGTCTTGGTTTTCCACGGTTACAGGTTAGCAAACAACTGGACTTCCAGACACCTGAGGAAAGGCTCTAACGGGGTTGGGGTCTGGGGCAGGAGAGGAACCGAGGAAATAGAGGGGAGACATAGAGAACCTTACAAAAATAAAACTATCATCATAGCCTCAGAGAGGTAAGATGTTGCAGCCATGAAACAAACAGCTACGAAAGAACTAATCAGAAAAGGAAACATAGAAAGAACTAATCAGTCAGAAAACATTGCTCGCTTTATCTCTTTAGATATTATACCAGGAACATTTATCATCTAGTCAAAGAAATAAAAAATAAAATGATTGACAAAAACTGAATTCCCCAACCCCCAAAGAAAAACAACATTTTGAGAAACAGCATCCTTGGTGTTAAGTCCTTCCAGAATGACAAATCTGAGGGGGACACATCCATCTCCATGTCCAAGTTCTAACGCGTTTGTTTAAAGTTGCCTTGTAACTTTATACTCAAATTTCAAGCACATGAAAGATCTATTTTAAGTCCAAAAGTAGAAGCTTGAGAAAAATATAGATAATTCTTATCAGTCACTATTGAATCGCACATCTGAAAAATAATGAGTATTTTTCTAATGTCAATACATGGTCATTGAACTAAGGAACAAGTGTTTTAATCACCCACGAGTCTTCATTAAAAAAGAATTACCATAAACACTTGGTATGTGATCTTCCAGACTTTTGTCTATGACTATGTATGAATGAACAGTTTTAAAAACAAAAATGAAATTAAGCTGCCAAATGTGTATGTTTTAAATAACTATTTGCTCTCAGAGTGTCTTTCAAAAGCAAAATGTGATTTTATTTCCAAAAACCTGCTGGAAGATGGGCTCCACGACAAGAAGGCAGCCAGACAGGAAAGGGACACACGTAAGACATGGCATCGGGAGCCAGCGTGGGGAAGGGGAAGAACCCTCGAGGTTACATTGAGCAGATCCGAGAAAGCTCAATCCTTCCCAGCAGTGAGCGAACTGAGAAATAATTCAATTTATACCGCTAACTCCTCAAAGGCTTGGGATCTGGCTGAGAAGGACCCGGGATTACTGTACACCAGGCCTAGAGGGCAAGCTATTCTGACTGGGGCAGGTCAAAAAACTCATGACCAAGGACAGCAGGGCTTTGTCATACCCACTCGCCCTTTGTTCCTCAGGGACCAGGGGGACAAAATGAAAGCCAATGGACCCATCGCTTTAGTTTACCGGCCCCACAAGGTTAAAGAGCACGGCCAGGACTGAATGTTTAGAGAATAATGAAGTGTCTCGCCAACAAGAGTGACGGCCCTAAGCAATGTTATGGCAAGAGCCTTCTGAGTCCAGTTGACTACAATGTAAAGAAAACACAAATCTTGAATAACAGGAATTCCTCACCTACATACAGAGCAAAGAATCTCTCTGGACGTTCCGTTAGAGCTTCCCACAGTCTAGAGGGCAGAGCTGACTTCTCGGCCCAGCACCAGGACCCCTCAGTCTGAACCTATCCCACCTCCCTAACCTCAGCTCTATGGAGCCCGCCACCTGCCACGTCTACCACAGCCAGGTATGAGGGCACTCACTCAACGCGCCTTGTACCTTTCCTCCTACTACACACCCACCTTTAGGTTGTCGGACTCAGCCATTTCCTCCCACCCCCGCAGGCAAGTTCCTATTCACATTCTGCCTCCTTCTGGAGGGGTCCCTCACCCCCTAGCCCAGCGTTTCTCCCTCCTGAGCAAGCAAGGCTTTAAAGCCCTCGTGGAGCCTGGCGCTCAGGAAGCTGTTGGCTTATTTTAGAACCCTCTTCACTATCGTCACCCCTCTCCCCACATTCAAGTATTTTGTAGCTGATGGGCTTATTTTAGAACCCTCTTCACGATCGTCACCCCTCTCCCCACATTCAAGTATTTTGTAGGCACTAATTTCATTTTTTTTCATTCAACGTACATTTATTATTTATTTCCATGTGCTTGGTACCTGGTGATCCTAAGATACCAAAGATATCAACTCTATTCTCAAGATTAAAATCTATGCAGAGGTGACAGACAACTATGATGTAAATGCACTAACTGAACTGTGTACAGAGAGAAGTGGGAAGGGAAGGATCGCTTCTGTGGGAAGGTCGGAGGGGGCTAGAAGCCAGAAGAAACGTTGAGGTGATACAGACATACATATAAATACTATCTGGCAGCACCAACAGTAGCCTCCCAGAGGGCACATGAGGTGTCAGACCACAGTGTTCTTCATAGTGCCCGCACCTTGTAGCAAAAGGGCTCCCGGACTGATGTTATTTTAGGAGTCATTCATTCAAAAAAATGCTTTCTCAGACCTTATTAAATGCCAGGTACTGCTTCGCTGTTCTAGCTGGGGATGTAGCCAAGAGCAGAGTCAGCACACATGTAAATAAATAAATGTGAGGATTTTGTATAGTGATAAAGGCTGGAAAAATAAAACAGGATAATGGGAGAAAGTCTGACTTTTATCCATTATTCTGCCAATGACAGGCAAGACATCCCACACCCAATCTAATGGGTCAAGAATGCTTTTATGTAATATCAAAAAATAGCCCCAAAGGACAATTCTGATAGACCAAGCCACTCAATCAAGTGAACCCTGTTTCCCAGCTTTGAGCCGAAACTGTGATATTGGGAATGGAGCTTTACGATAGCACAGCTATTCCACCCAGGCCTGTTTTGTCCCTTGTTTGCAACACATCTAACACTGCCAGTTTGTTTTGCAATCATTTTATTTCATCTGTGGATGATGTTCTCATTTCCCAGGTTAGAAAACTGATACACTTGGTGAGCATCTTTTTGAGATTTTTTGCAATCAAAACCAAGAGTGAAATTTCCAGCCCCCAGGGTCCTCAATTAATGTGGATATCAAATTCCTCCTCTACCTCCCAAAATGTTTGTATTTCTCTTCTCCCCCTAAAGGCCAAGAAAGCCTACAACTGAACAAAATAGGTTGTAAATCAACTTCGAATCACTAATTCCAATTCTCGATGCCGACGGTTTATAATCCTTCCCACTTTTGCTCCCCCTCATTCAAAATCGGGTTCAATCTAAACTAACTGGGGGATATTACCTGAGGGTTAAGCTCATTTCCTTTTCTTTTCTCTATATAGCGCTTAACACAAGGCTGGCATACAGTTCACCTTCAGTCTTTCTTTAGTTAGGTTCTGTTGAGCTTTATTGTCTTGGATTATTTACTCTGTAGGTTACTTCATCTGGAAAATGCATTACTTGTAGCTTGTGGAGGGGAAGGAGTATGGAAGAGATGCTTAAGCAAAGAATAACTTCTTTTGTAATTCGGCCTCCTTCCCAAACTTTTCAGGAAAAACTACATCAAAATAACCTCATTATCCTTTTTTTTTGTAAGGCAACCCTTCTAGGCTTGTCCAAGTTACTGAAGTGAAAATCGCCGGAGAGCTCCTTGAGGAAAGTGGTCATTTCATGTTTGTCCGTGTATTTCCAGCATCTCGCTCAATGTAAATCACAGATCGCAAATGTTTATTAAATGAACAACAAATCTTTTTTAAAAGGAGGGACTCGGCACTCAAAAACGTTTGTTGAGGTTAATTCCCTCTGCGCGGAAGAAGAAACAATCCTCAAGAACTGGCAGTAAAAAGATCTTAGTCCCAAGTGGCTGCAGCCTCTGAGTCAAGTGCCTACAGCCAGGCTGGTCTTTACTGACACTGCCTCAGAGCTCTAGCAATCCTGTCAAACCCATTTACCTCTGCCTTCAAGCACCTTTTCCCACCTTACTTCCAACCCACAAGCTCCTGTCCAAAGCCTAAATCAAGTTTATGGAATATACTTCTAAGCAATACTCAGATACTCCATTAAGTAGAATAGCTAGAAACAGAAGTTGGCAAGAAATATGTCAGATGCCTTTAAAAAAAAAAAAAAAAAGCCCTTTCCTGGGAAGAGGGATCTAGGCAGGTCCAAGCCCTCACCCTGCCTCTCGGTGGTCCCTACCCCTTGGGTCCCAGTGGCGTCTAATCCAGCCTGAAAGCCTTAAAACAAGCTGCGTCTCTTCAAAACGTCGAAGCTGTTGTGGGAAAACAGGGAGCACTTTTGCATCACTATACTGAGCGGGTCACCCACCCCCAGCATCGCCCGAGCGGCCACTCGGCAGGGGTGGCTTGGCCAGAAGGAGGGGGAGGGAAGCCGGGAGGCCGCGCGGGACGCGAAGCGGGTGTGTCCGCTCCTCCCTGCGCCACCCGCCCAGAGGCAGCGGCCCCAGAGGGGA